CGAGTCCACCAGCAGATTTTCTCAATTTTCTCAATTGCTCAGTACTAGTGCAGAAATGGACCCCTTTTGCAATTTGTTTTTTGCAATCCTGTTACAAACTGGTTCCAAAACTGCGTTTTTGTTGCTTTGCTTTTCATATTATTGTCAGTAAGAATTACGTCATTGAAATAAAGCCAGCTACACCTATCATGCCTTTCATTATTTTCTACTGTAATTGTCTTTCATGTCGTACTGTACTGTACGCCTCTTTAGTCATTGATAGCAGCAGGTTTTCATTACGTAAATTTTGCGCAAAAGTTGAGGATAGGATTTTCTGCACCCCTGAGAATAAACAGTAATTTCCGCTTGGGTCACTTCAAATAATTTTAACTGGATTTGGCAAAATTTTCATACATCAGCTATTGAGTTAATTTGGTCAATTTCAAGCTAAAGTGCTTCAGCTTGTTATGGCTGTCTGTCTGACAGTAAAAAGTCTCCAATTTAATGTGCCTAAGAAACAGATTTATATTGGACAATTTAAGCAGGGTTGAAACCTGATTGATATTAAAAAAAGACGGGCTTTAATTCAGATTGAGCCCTGAGCTGAAATCATCCCAGGTGATAGGAAAGCACAAAGCTATTTGCAAGAAGCCTTCTGTTGTATTTTGCCAGACAGGATCAAATGAAACATTTACATTAACATCCATAGAGCCATAGATCATTCAGCAAAGCTCTTTAATTTATTCCAGTGCAGGCACGTGTATCCTGCTGTAAAAGTCCCTGGGGGCAGCGCTGCGTTGTTGGAGGTGCGTAGATCGGTTGGTTGAGAAGTTAAATTAAAGTCCTGGCTGCCTGTTAAGATGGACATTAAAGATGGCACTATTTGAAAAGAGAGAAGGGAGTTTCTCTGGTGGACAATTTCCAGATAAAAATTGGTCAGTGGTGAATTCTTCCTCCCTGAGCAGGATATTGCCAGTTTAGAGAGTAGTAAATAAACAAACATCGAGACTTCTCTATAACAGGAGCACATTTGCCAGAACAGGCCATTTGCCCTGTCACAATTGTGCTGCCATTTTATTAGTTAATGGAAGCTCTTTTATCTTTCTGACTCCACTTCCTCAGAACCTTCTCTCCAAATCCCTTAATAACCTAACTTCCCTACCTCCCTTAAGACGAAGAGCACTTAATGCTCGGCAATGCACCATCCACAGGGAAAGCACGAAGGACTAGTGTCAGTAGAGGGTTCACAGCAATTTCAGTTATAGCCCGGCAAGAATGTGGCCCAGTGCATTTATACCGTGTGCCACTGCTCTTAAATGACAATTTATACCAAGCCTTTACAGGAACTGAGTAGGAGCCTGAGCTGGGTGCAGGATCGTGGGAAGTGGCAGAAGGAGCGCTCAAAAAGAGAGGTATTTAGATGGGTTTTGGAAGCAGTGAAGGGAGGGAGTGAGGCAGAGGAGTTTAGGGTGAGAGTTCTAGGGACTGGAACAATATATAGACCATCTGATTCTTGAGAGTTAAGCCTGCTCTGCCATCAGCAGTGACTTTCTGTGTCAAGGGGTGGGTGTGGGGGTGGCGAGGGGGGGTACTTTAACTGACTTTATATATCTGCCCTACATCAAGAGGGAATAAAAAAGGATATAAAACTGGATTTTAAAAAGCCGCTCACTATTTCACAGTCAATGAGACGAGAAAGCAAACAAGTAATTAAACCTAATGTGCATTTAATTTAATTACATAATATCAGCTTCTGATGCGGTGAGGTCTGTAGTCGTTAAGTGTTTACTTTTAATTTTAAAGCATCGTTCAATTTCATATGCAGCTGTTTCCTACGACTACACACGTTGTGTGATTTCCAGCGTTACTGATGGAGTTTTAAAATCTTTAGCCCATTTTTAAGTAACATTGTAGTGGTTTGTAGTATAGCTTTGTTGCTTTAATCAGCCACTGTTCTGCTTCTAGAGCTTTATACATAAAGATATACTGCTTGGCCCTTAAGTGCTGAGCTTTAAAGTAATCTAGGCCCGATCTTTTCACTGTTAGGCACATTCATACTATGTGTGTGGGAGCAGGATAGTTAAGAATAAATATAAGATATTTGCAATGGTAGCAGACAATTAAATTGTAACTGAGCTCGAATGGTGGGTGGCCTTTCTGTGGAAAATATCCAAAGAATTTGCAGTGCTAGAGCAATTCAGTACATTAAATGGCCATTCTCATTGGGAAAACCAAGAATTTTTTGGCTGTAGGACAAGAACATTGGACTGCAAGAAATTGAATTGCTGCTTGTATTCAAGTAGAAGTGCTTGACTGAAACACAGCAGAAACGTATATTTTACAGTGTTTATCAGAACTCGCCATTTTCACCCCGTGGTATGAATCGGGCTTAAATATGACTGTTAAATTCTATTGTAAATAATGTCAAGTTAAGTAACTTTTGGTGACTGCGTTTAGTCTTCGGCTAGTCTGTTTTTACAGGGAAGCCTAATGTGTTAGCTTGTTTCAGCACTCTTGCCTCTGAGTTAGAAGCTAGTCATGCCAAGCCCCAAGTTTAGGTCAAGGCTGACAATCAAGTGCGGTACTAAGGGAGAATGGCTCTGTCAGTGCTCCCATCCTTTGGGTGAGATAGTAAACTGAGGCGCCGTCTGCCTGTTCAAGTAGGCGTCAGAGACATGACACTATTTGGAAAAAAAAGAGGGAGCTTCTCTCAGGGTCCTGGCTAATAATCCTCCAGATTAACTGATCATTCACTTCATGGCAGGTTGAGGGAATCTCTTGTCACCCAATTTAGCAATAATTACCAGTGCAGGTCTTCAAGATTTTTGGACAGGTTAAGGATTCATAAAACGTGCAAGGTCTTTCCCTCATCTGACTTCTGATTGCTGGGACTTCGCAGGTGAAATGATCGTTCGTGATTTCATGGACTCATAAGTGGAGTCCTGTAGCTCAGTGGTTAGAGCACTCGCTTTGCAAGCGAGAGACCTGAGTTCAATTCCAGGCAGGTCAGGGCGAAACCTTGGGCAAGTTTCCTTACTCCACACACCTAATAATAATCCCTCCAAAAACAAAAAAACAAACAATAATAAATTGGTCACTTTCAGTCTACGACTGTTTGTGGGACATTGCTGTGCGCAATTGGCTGCCGCGTTCGCCCACAAATATACAGTCAATTCACTTTACAGTATATTCTGTGAGACGTCTAGAAGACGTGAAAAGTGCTATATCAAACGCAAGGATTATTATTTATTATTATTAACGTGAGAAATCTTCACTGAGCTGCATTTGTTTTCCTGTGAGATTCTGTCATTGCAAGCATAACAAAGTGAAGACAGCAGTGCAAACAAATGCTGTGCACTTCTCTTCAATGTTTAACTGATCTCTAAGGACTGAATTGCGTGTTGAGGTAGAGTTTGTGGTAATAAAAACTAACTGGCACTAGGGAAAGGTTGAGGCTGCTTATTTGGAAATTTGCAGTAAGAAGCTTCTAGTATATCCAGCTCCTTCAATTCAGCAACTGTGGATATGACAATAGGAATAACATAGAATTGTAGAATTTACTGTAGAAGGAGACTATTTAGCCCAACTTGCCTGGGCAGGGAGCCATTTTAACTCTATTACCTATAATTCATATTTAAAACTATTTCAACTGGCGGGTAGGTCGGTAACCTGAGGACACCGTTTTAAAATAGTTGGTAAAAAAAACAGAGGGGAGGTGAGGAGAAATGATTTCAGACGGCGAGTTGTTCGGATTTGGAATGCATTGCCTGAAAGGGTGGTGGAAGCCGATTCAATAACAACTTTTAAGAGAGACGTAGATACGTATTTGGGGAGGACAAGTTTGGAGGGCTATGGGGAAAGAGCGGGGGAGTGGGATTGATTTGGATTGCTCTTTGACAAGAGCCGGCACAGACACAATGGGCTAAATGGCCTCCTTCTATGATTCTGTGAAAAACTAACTTGGGGTCTGCTTCAAAAAGTACAGATTGAGAAAATGTGGCCCATCAAGCCCCGCAAATCTGCCTTGTAACATCACTCGCTCGATCTCTGAGGTAAATCATTAAACTGCACTGTTGTACGATTCCACCCCAACTCTACATAGCAACAACTTCCTCCTCCACACATACAATTCTCCCAACCCCAAGCCTGGCAGCACTGAATTATGGTGACCTATGTAGTATTTGTTCACTTAATGGCTTGTTAGCTGATAGCAGCTCGTAAATTATTAGTGGAAACAGAAAATGCTTTAGTTTAAAGAAGAACTGCAGTTCAAAGATGTTCCCATTTTCCTGTTAGATGGTGGCCATGGACCACAGAAATGTACACAATGATGTAATTTGGCCCATAGTGCCCATGTCAGTTCTCTGAAAGAGCTATCCATTCTGACACACCCTCCTGCTTTTTTACCGCATCTTTTCATACCATATTTATCCTTTTCATGTGTTTATTTAATTTCCTTATAAAACATAATGTGGATTCGGCCCCAACCATGGTTCCCTGCCCTGATGACTGTGTGTAAACATCTCCCCTGACCCCTGCCTGTGGGGAGCATTTAATTATGTGATGACACTATGTATGACCCTACAATGCGGGGCTAGGGGGTGTTGCATTGCAAAGCTGCCATCCTTTGGTTGAGACATCAAACCGAAATCCCATCTGCCTGTTCAGGTGGATGTTAAAGATCCCATACCACTATCCGTAAAGAGAAGGGAGTTTCTTCCAGTTTCCCAGCCAACAATTCCCAAACAAAATTGGTCACTCATTCCATGGATGTTTGTGGGACACAAAGAATTTCTGGAATCAATTTCTGGAACTGTTTACGAGGCAGATGGGCAGGTGCTTGAGATGTAAGATTATTAAGGCATCTGGAGAAGAGGTGGGGAAAGGAAATAGGATGAAGTAGATGAGGTAGGTGTCATGAACAATGAAAGGGTGGAGTGGGCTTGATGGGACAAATGAGTTACCGCTGTTCCTTTTTCATGCAATTGCCTGTTTATAATATTTTTACACTTCATTTCCAGGTGGAGCTGGCAGAGATCTGTGCTAAATGTGAACGTTACATCGGGACCGAGGGAGGCGGTATGGACCAATCCATCTCGTTCCTTGCGGAAAAGGGAACTGTGCGTAATCCTTAAATTCAGGGCTTTAGGACGAATACTTTACTTTCCACGAAGTTGTAGGAGAGTGTGACGTGTGCAATTCTTGTGCAATATTAGACTTCACTTTGTTTTGCATCATTGCCTCAAGACGTCTCAAAGCGCGTCACGGGATATACTGCAAAGTGAAGCGACTGAGTTGGTATTGCAGAAAGATTAGATCGATCAAATTTGAAAGCTCATCATCTGAATCTGGTGATATTTGCGCTAAGTTGCCATTAACCAGCACCTACTGTCAGGAAACCCAGAATCGCAGGCACAAAAGCGTCTCTGTTCCACAAACAGGCTTTATTGTAGAACGAGGAACATGATTCTAGTACGAGCAAAAGAGCTGATCCCAGATGATTTATCCCAGTGGAGCATTACATTCTGTATAAACGGGGGGTATTTACATTGCATTCCACTTCTGTCACAGCAATTTATTCGCCAAGTACAATGGCGTATAACAGTAGTAAAAGAACCTGAGAGCATCCCTGGGTTGTATCCACACTAATCACAGTAATCTACTTCTTTCATATAATTAATTGTAGTTCAAGTGGTTCGTGCCGTTCCCTACAGATGTTCAAACTCCCACGAAGTGCAGACAACATGCAACACATCTGTTCCTCGCAGGATTTCTGACTCTTAACTCCACAGAGAACATGTGGAAGAGATAAACTTGTTCCTCCCAGAATTTGACTCAAAAAATACCTTTAACGTGTAAGGTATTACTCCATCGGGCAGTCTTATCAGTTGCACAGATTTGACAGTTACATCATAAAGCAATAAAAGTCTATTAAAAGCTCATCAACCCACCCCTTGCACAACCCACAAAAAACCTACCCAATCCTCTCCATCTCCTAGAGACAGATAGAAGTACTCCGTGAACTTTAAAGGTCATTGAGTATAAATAACAGTATATTCATCCATCTCCATCTATCCAGTGTTCACACCTGGCCTGATTCTTTCCACAGACTGCATTGTCCATTATCGGAAAGAGTTTTGTCCCTTCTCCTGGCTTTTTTCCTCGTCCTTTATATTTCTTCTTTTAATCAACTTTTCTAATTCTTTCTTAAAAGCTGATATGGATTCTGCTGATTCAGAGCATTCCACATCCTGGGTCTAGAAAATTTATATTCATCAACTGTGTTCTTTAGATGAGCATTGACAGCTTCCCGTGTAATCCTTTGAAGCATTTTCCCTATTATAGTAATTGCTTGGTTCATTTCTAACTCCTTATATAAATAATGAGATAACATTTGCCACTCATTTGTTTCGCCTACAAAATACTCGGTCACTGCACTTTACAATAAATCCTGTGAAGCCTTTTGAGACTCCCTCTGACATGAAAGTCACTGTAATTAAATGCAAGAATTATTATTATTGTTATCCTCCAGTCCCCAGATGTATCATCAGTGGAGCTTCCAAGAACAATAATCACAACATCAAATATTTCCTCACACAATTCCCTATTTGACCCAAGTGTTTTTTAGGCATTGGATGCTTTATACTGAGATTGACTTATTTTAAAGATTCCTGAGCCACAATGACTGGATTTAGAAATTGACCGCAACTTTTGTTCGTGATAAACAATGTCTAAAGAAAACCACATCTGTCATGTCTCTGCTGAATTTATTGTTTGCGAACTCGTCCTTTTTCTAACGTAATTGCATGTAGATCCAAAGGTTTGGATTGTTATGCCTGTTGCCCTGAATGAGCATGTAAAAGCTGACGATAGTTGGAGCTTTGTTCGCATAAACAGTTCTTTTGCTTTGTTTAATAGGCCAAGTTAATAGAATTCAACCCACTCCGAGCCACTGATGTGACACTTCCAAGTGGAGCCGTATTTGTGATTGCAAACAGTTGTGTAGAAATGAATAAAGCTGCAACAGCTCATTTCAATATCCGAGTTGTGGAGTGTCGACTTGCAGCAAAGGTACGGTTCATGTTTTCTCTCCTTGACACCTTTAACATGAAAAGTTTAACATGAAAAGTATTACTCTATCGGGTAGTCTGTCAAGAACGTAGCTGTGCGGTCTATGCACATGGAACATAGCTAATGAATAATTACTGCAGTTATCAATTGGTCAGACAATGGGTACGCTGGGGGATGAAGTTCCTACCACTCAACACCTCATACTGTTTGTGTAGGGTGGTTCTTGCTGACAAGCAGCTAGAAGCTTACTAGTGCTTTGTATAATTAAGCTACCAGTTTTAGCTGGTGAGTGTGCCATTGCACGCTTTGTGGCCCCAATTACTTGGCATCTGACAACCCACATTGTGTTCTGGGGATGTGTGTCTGATCAGGGAGAGAATGTACGCATTAGAACTGGCAAAGAAACTCGGCCTCTGTCTGACTGATGCTTGTGGTCTCTTAAGCGCAGCTAAGAGTTTCCATTTGTGTCTGATCAAACTAAAATTAATTTCAAACAACAAAATTGCATTTATAGAGAGCCTTTCACTTCGGGAGGATGTCCCAAGGCGCTGGAGAGTCAGGGGTAAGGACCCGAGTGTGGGGGAGGGGTGGGGTAGGGGTGAGGGAAGACAGAGAGGTGGGAGGGCGACTGAAGGCATGATTGAAGAGGAGGGTCCTGAGACCGGCCTTGAAGGAGGCAAGGGAGGAAGCGAGGCGAAGAGACTGTGGGATGGAGTTCCAGAGTGTGGGAGCAGAGAGGCTGAAAGCTTGGCCATCAATGGTCGGGCGGGAGTCATGGAGCAGGCCGGAGCCCGCTGAATGGAAATAAAATAAAAACAAAATATGAAACCTAAAATCAGAACAAAGAACATCATAAATAATGATAATCCTTGCATTTGGTGTAAGCGCTTTTCACGTCAGGAGGACAGCCCAAGGCGCTTTACAGGATATATTGTAACATGGAGTGACTGTGTTTTATGGGTGAACACACAGCTATTTGTGCACAGCAATGTCATGTAAAGGAACAGCCATTGTAAACATTAAAGGTATGACTCGAACAATGGCTTTATATGACTGGAATAATCACCAGGTACTACAATGGAAACCATCTGTATTTTGCTTAAGATGCCCTTCTGCAAAAATATCAGTTCAAAGTGTTTCCATGTGAATTGACGAGACAAATTAAATTTTACAATTTCCTAGGAATGTTGAGTTGAGATTGTGAACGGTTTGGAATCACTACCTTTGTTGTGAGATTTATTACGTTGGCCTCATATCTCAACTGAAAGCTGATATTGGGGAGCAAGGGAGCCTGAAAGATTGGGAGGAAGAGAAAAAGGCAGGAGTTGGGTAAGGACAGGTGTGGTTTGTCCATGAATTGATAGAAGTACAGTGTGCACATCATGTGGCTAGCTTGAGTTGGAACACAAAGTTGGTTCTTCCTGACCCAAAAATATAATTCCTGTTGATATTTCTACATATGCTGTTTTAATGGACATTCTTAGGAAATTGTAAAATTGAATTTATCTCTTCAGTTCATGGAAACACTTTGATCTGGTATTTTTGCAGAAGAACGTCTTAACAAAAATGCAGGTGTTTCCATGTTAGTATCTGGCCACTATTCCAGTCCTATAAAATGAAAACATGTTATATATTGCCTCTGGTTTAGAAATAAGACACAAAACAAAGTTTCTAATGGAATTCAGCAATGAGCAGGACGTTTTCCAAGAAACCTTTAGGTTGTGTTTCTAGCATTGCCAACCAAGTGAGAGCTACAAAGAGGTGAAGTATTGGAAAAGTAAGGTTATTGAGAGATATGGAGAAAAAGCAGAGAAATTGAATTCAAAAGATAGAGAGCTATCTTGAAACAAATTGTGGATTGGACTCAGTGGACCAATTGATTTAACTCCCTGCTCCTATGTGCAGGTATTGAACGTTCAATTTAATTTCCCCGATATTTTGGCAATATAAAAATGGCTTATTAGCTGAATAGAATTGTAAACTGTGGAAGTTTCCCAATGTGCTGATCTCTGATAAGTTATCATAAACTCCACTCGTCCTGCGAGATAGATAGAGTCTGGTCTGCCTTGAATATTGTACTTGTCAAGTTTGTTGTAGGATGGTGGGTCGACCAGCTCCCACTCTCTGTCTGTCTTTGAAGGATGTTACAACAATATCTCATTTTGATATTTAGATCCTTGCGAAGTCAAAAGGCCTTAAGTGGAAGAAGTTGATAAAACTGCGAGATGTGCAGACGGAGCTCGGACTGAGTCTGGAGGAGATGCTGTCAGCTGTGGAGGAGGTGCTGCATCCAGAACCCTACAGCAGCGAAGAAGTCTGTCAGTACCTCGGGATTAATCAAAAGGAGCTGGTGACCAGCATTCTCAGCCAGAACACACAAGACGGTGAGCTCTAATCAACTGCCCTGTATTATTTATCCTTTGTTGAACTTTGCTTCCAGGCAGGAATTGAGAAAACGTTTTGCCAAACGTTTGCTCTTGATCCCCAGCCAACACAGACTGGGGGTTGCTATCCCACAAGTGCTGCTTGTTTTCTGATGCCTTCTAATCCAAGTGGCCACCATTCATTCATAAGTCGGAATCCTGGCAGACCACTTGACTGCCGAGAGTGGGTCAGATCAGAGCCTGACCCTCTCTCCCTTCTTCACTGTGATGCCTTACACGTGCCCTACCAGTAGAGGGTGCTTAAAACGGATTAAGAGTAGGAACACTCCCTAACCTCATATCAGTTTAACTTGCGGACATTATCCCCACCTGAGCAAACTCAGGATATGAGCTCCTGGTCCATTATAGCTCTATTCACTGCACCATTGTGGGTGCCCCATATTCAAGAATGCTTTATATATATATATATATTATATATCTTGTCGAAACATAAAGGGTCCTGTGCAATATTCTGTTTCCTTTATGAACAGTCAGCTTGAATAGTTGGAGCTGCTAACATTGTGTAAGCTTAGATATTCTTAATGTGTGGGAATGGTTAACTACTGGGTTACAATATTGATGGCTTGTTGACCGACTATAACTGGATCTTAAAATATTCTTGTGACAGTTTCTAGGCAGTGTTTCGGCCACAGGCACATCCACTATTCATGGGGAAAGTCCTTTTCAGCGCAAGGCTGGATGCCTATAGCTGAGAAGTAACAGATCATATTGAAAAGCCAAAAATTCTGCAGTGCATAAAAGTTGGGAGTAAGTGGACAGGAAGGAGGCAAGTGATTATCTTTTCAATCCTTTTTAAATAGGAACCAATTTGTGCCAAACAGGAATATACAGGCTATACTTCTCTTAAGTTGTTCTCACCCACCCTCAATTTTTTAGCATGTGCTGCTGTCTCCGAGCTTACATTCAAAGCAAAAGCAGCATTCACAGTGATGGCCAAGTGCTGAATGGTTTGAGAGGCTGGGAGAGTGATGGGAGTATCTCCTCATGCATTGCTCAAATCCAAGTCCTGGCTCATAACTAAGGAACATATTTGATGCCTTAACAGATGTTGGCAGGATGGACCACTCCAGCTCTTCTTTCTGTGTAGGAAGGAGAAAATTGCAACAATTATGTTAAATATTTGTAAACTTGCTTTCTTTTTTGAACTCTGCGAGCACTTAAGTAACTGTTAGAACCTTCGAAATGTGCAATATTACAACCCCATTTAAACCTCAAGATGGATCATTTTTTACCCATCCGAGATTCCCCCAAAGGTAACGTGAAACATGTCCAGCAGGTGGCGCACATTTTACTTTCAATACAAATATGTTCGGGGTTGCTCAGTCATTAATATTACAGTGAGCAACAATTACATCCACTCTGCCCTTCACTGTATAACAGAAGAACCATTTCTCCTGCAGTTTATTTCCTCAGTGGAAAACGGGTTAGAGGAGGCAGATTTTTATCTTAAAAAAAAATCGAATACAAGGTATTGAATGGTCCATAGTTTTTCATAAAATGAAGTGAGCGTGGTCATGTTCTGACCGGCTGAATCCAACATTTTCAAAGCTGATTCTGATTACCTTCGGTTCACAACTCCACGGTGCTTACAACACGCTGCCATTTCTTTGATGCACCTCAATCACACATTGCAGTTCTGGCATGGTCCAGAGAAATACCCTGCTGTCTTTATGGTGTACTTAAGTCAAGCCAAAAAACATCCCTTTGCTAATACCTCAGAAAGAACGGATTTCTATGTCTTCAACCAAATCCAAAAAATGCTAATGTTCGTGCTGAGGAATGGAAAGTCTGTCTTTTTTTGGACACTGCTGTAGGGTGGGGAGGAGGGGTGGGCTGGGAAGGGTGACTTACACTTGATTCCGAAGGTAGTAGCCTTAGCTGTGTTTGGGCCTAAAGTTAGTGCAGATTGGTAGTCTTACTGACAAAGAGAGAATTAATCCCCAGCCCATAGCCCAGCTTCAGAAGAGGGGATCTTACTGCGTGTGTGTGACTGTCTGTCACAAACTCAGACTGACCGTTTACTACTCCCATTAGTCGGTAGTTTAATTTTCATGGCACATGGAACACGCGGAACAATCAACCTCTGGAATTTCCGTGTGTGGTTCGGATACACGGAATTCTCAGTTTGGTTTGGATACTCTTAAGTATGGTGATGGGTTTCCGCAGTGTCATAGGCATCTGACTGACCAAATAAAATAGGTAGTTTAATGCTGTAGGCTTGCTCTTACTATGTCTATAGGGTTTGACTGTGCAAAATGGTTAGTGATTTGGAACTTTTAACAAAGAGAGCCTTGAGTCCCATCATTGCCGGCTGGATTCAAACCTGTAAAAGGCGAAAGAACAATCTTCGAACAATGTTCCTCCAAGCCCCTTAGCAGGTTTCCGTTTCAGCTTTAATATGATATTACTTCTACTCTTAGATTGGTTCCTTGTGATGTTTCTTTCTTGCCAATATTTAACCTCCAAAATATTTCCTCTCCTCGTCTCAGTGATTTGACCTCTATGTTCTTTCTTCCTGGGTGAGGTTCCGTTAGTCCCAGTGGCTCTATGGTATCTCTTCCAAATGGCCATTATGCATGTGGAAGCTCTGATGGAGTGTGTTGGCACACTATTCTGCCATTGTAGGTGTCTTACAGCCTGAATCTGTCTTCACCTGAAACCCACACACTTTCCATTAGAGAAGCGATGGATAGAGATCAGAGGCTGAAATTCCCATTACTGACATAATGACATTGATACTGTCAGCTTCTAATGAGATTTCTCCATGCGACATCGTCAATATTGCTGCCTGTAACCATGACAGGAATTTAAGCCCTCAGGAACGAACTGGAAACCTGGTTGATTTTTCCATTCCCTAACTCACGCCAATTCTAGTGCCTCAACTGCTCAAAGTCTGAGATGAGTGAATATAGCAATGCCCGGGATTTGACCAGTGTGACCTTATGATTTGAATTGGTTCAACGCTGTACTGACTATGTGTTAATCCACAAGGCAGTGGGGAAGTTGGCTTCTAACATGAATACATTGTTTTGTAGAAACAGATCAATTGCATGTAGCAAATGAGAAACTTTTCCCCCAACTGCATAGGGTCGACTAACAACAGCTCAACAGCTGAACTCCATCCCTTCACAAAATTTTATTTCTGCTGCTTTAAGTCAACACCCGCTTTACTGCACTGATTATCTGTGTTTTTCCTCGGCTTGATCTGAATGATTTATTCTTGCAGAATGCAGAGACTGTAGGTGGAAAACAAGAAAGGGTGGGGGGGGGGAAAAAAGACTTAAGTAAGTTAAAGGTTTCAAAAGCCACACATAGACAAGAAGAATTGTGAGGGAGTGCAGCAATTGTGTTTGGCAGTGAATCAGAATGCTAAAATTTAATGGCACAAAAGTTCATTCGGGTCATTCTGCCTGTGTCAGCTGTCTGGAAGAGCGATCCATTTAGTCCCATTATCTTTTTCCCCAGAATTGTTGCAATTTATCACCAAACATGGGTCGCCTGCAGTGTTTTCAGGCACCATGAATTAAGAGCCGTGCTATGGCAGCCACTGGAGGAAGTGGCTTCAGTACTGGAGCGACTGGGACCACTGTCATTGTGGTCTGATTGCACTTGCTTTGGAGCGTCAGCCTAGACTGTGAGCTCAAAGTCCCAATGTGGAGTTTGAGCCCACAACCTTCTCAGACGCGAGAGTGCTGCTATCTGAGCCAGGGTGGCATCCAAGTTAATAATAATAATAAGTTGCTTCCCGGCTGTTTATGGGGATCTTGCAGTTTATAATTTTCCTGCCACATTCACCTAAAAATACACAGGTCACTGTAGTTTATAGCCCCATGAAACTTTGTGACATTTCAACGATATAGGCAACTACATCAAATGCAAAGACGGTATTTTTTTATAAATGGGAATAATGGGCATAAAGAGTTGCTTTAGATTCATTGGATTCAACAGGCTTTAAGCAACCAGTTAGATTCTTTCCAAGACAGAGCTGAAAAAGCAAAGCTCGCCACGTGACATGAGCCACTTGGATCAGACACATCATATTAATGTTTCTACCATATGGCATTTTGAAGGAAAGAAGCACATGCATTGAGACCATAAAATTAATTTATAAATTCATAAATCTAGCTCTCAGCTTAAGTGTTGAACATGTCAGTGTGTTACACTGCAGTAAAACTTTACAGAGCATGCTTACAAAAATCCCCTAATGACATTTTTAAAACAAAAATGTCTTAAGGGTTTATTGGAAGACAGTTTCTAGCGATGATACCTTGTACAGTCCTGCCACAGAAATATGCATAAAGAATTCACAGCTCTTGGATTTTTCCCCCAAATATTTTGAGTAGTTTCACAACCGAGCAAAAAGTCGTCATAAGATAGATATTATGGCTTTCCATTGATACAAATGTAATTTAACAAATAAGCGTAAAGCCGAATTCTTTGCCTTTTCTGAATTAATGGCAGTGAAATCTCATTCGTGACTGATGTTTCAACCCACAGACCTGAACACTTACTACTGTTAATAGTAATCCTTACATTTGTCAAAGAGCCTTATCACATTGCCAAAACACCTCAAACCGCTTCATTGTATTTATTGTAAAATGCAGTGACTGTATTTTGTCGGCAAACGCAGTAGTCAGTGTGCCCATGGCAATGACCTGCAGACAGACATGAACTGAATGACCAATTTTATCTGAGGGTATTGTAGTAGTAATAATAATAATCCTTACATTTGATTCAGTTCTTTATCACGTCGTCTTGACATCTCAAAGTGCTTCACAGGATATACTGTAAAGTGGATTAACTGTATTTTGTGGGTAAAAGGAAGCAGCCAATTGCACAAAGAAATCTCCCACAAACAGTCATGGAGAGAGTGACCAATTTGATTTGGGGATTTGTTGGCCAGGACTCTAATATACACAAATATACAGTCAATTCACTTT